GGGAAAGAGAGTGATGGGATGGCCTCCTAGGTAGGGGGCATGTTATTTCAGTTGAGAACTAAGTGACGTGAGGGGGAAAGCCATTGCCATTATTTAGTGGTGCTGGTGGGGAGTGAGGAGTATTCCGGGGAGGGAGAATAAGTGCAAAGGACCTGAGGTAGGAATTCGATTAGGGTGTTTGGCATAGACTGAAAAAGTTTCCCCTGAAGGAGCACAACAGAGGGCAGACTTATCAGTGCTGTGATGAGGTAGGGGCAAGGTCCAATGAGAACATGGGAAAGGAGAATAATAACACCAAAGGTGGGCATTGTGGGAGAGGCTTTCCCAGCCGAAAGAATAGCACAAAGGCAGGGAAACCTGTAAGAATCTGACAAGTCTAGTTAACTGCAAAATAGTCCCATATAGTTGGAGCCTCTGGTGTGTGTTGATGACAGGCTGGACATAGCTTTGGAAAGGTAAGTGGGGGCCAGTTCAGAGGGCCTTGAAGGGTGTGTTAAGGTGTGTGGACTTCATTCAGGAAGCTATGGTGAGCCATGGAAGTACTTAGGCAAAGAAATGATGTGAGAGAACATATTCAGTAAACTTGATTGTGAGAAACTTCCAATTTTTCCCAGCATGGAGGTTTTCTGATCTGCTGAAGGAAAACCTGTGCCCTCAGGTATCCATAGCAGGTCTCGTTTTATATATCACCTCTCCAGGAAGTCTTCCCTGATTCCCCAAGACTGTTAGGTTCCTTTTCTTTGAGCTCCTCTAAAACAATGTACTTTTTTGAACTATGGCATGTTGTAGATCATATTGCAGTTGCCTGTTAGCATGTCTCTATTCTTCTCCAGACTTTTCAGTTCCATGAGGGACCATGTCTTATTTACATTATATTCTTGGGTAGGCACAGTGTCTTGTAAGCAGTTGATATTTTGTAATATTTAATATTTTTAATGAATATTTTTGAATTTAATTCTAGTAGCAGTGTAGAAGATAGAGTGGAAGAAAGGAGAAAAATTCAGGTCAGTTTGGAAACTATTGAAAGATAAAAATCTAAACCAAGGCAACGAGAGTGAGGATTAAGTTTCTTTGGGTTTTAGTAAAATTTTTGTTGCTGTAGTTACATTTTTTTTCAAATTTTATTTATTTATTTGTTTTTGAGCTCCATGTGCTATACAGTAGGTTTTCATTAGTTATCTATTTTATGCTGTAGTTACAAACTTTGTATTCATTCTTTTATTTTGTTCTGAAGAACAAAAGGTGTTCCAAGTGAAGAGTATAGAGAGACTCCCCTCATGAACAAAGTGGACCACCTCACTTGGCATTGCTTCTTCTCCCTTAGGGAATCTCAAATTCTGGGTGTGTTTCTCACAAACTTTTACTAGAGGGTCTTTGTATCCAGGAGTTAGGGTGAGCCCTACCTGCTACCACCGATTATTTTTACTTCTTTCCCCAGCCTGATGACCGTGGTACAATCAATGACATCTCTGTGCTGAGAGTGACCCGCCGGGGCGCCCAGGCTGATCATTTCACCCAGACACCTCTGACCCCTGGGACTGAGGTACAGGTCCGGGTGGACTGGGAACGGAGGTTTGACCACATGCAGCAGCATTCAGGTAGGTGGGGTGGGATGGGGCAGTTGCTGCGTGTGGGAATGTCACGATGATTGAGATGTGGTTTGGGTCCTCTAGGAATTAACCTTTTGGAAGAGACAGACATATTCAGAATCGGCTCCAGTTCAGGCAAGATGTGATAAATGTTATAAAAGCAAAATGAGCAATTAAAATAAAAGTATTAGAATAACTGCTGGACTTAAGTATTATAACTTCCCACTTGATATCTATATCTGTATATGTCTCATAGCCTTCTTAAACTCAAAATGTCCAGAATGGAATTAAAAAGCCACCCCCTCCCCCAGATCTGGTCTTCTCTTCGCCTTCACTATGTTAAGTGCATGGCATCAGCATCCACCCAGTTGCTCAAATCCTGGAAGTCAGTTCAGACACTGCTTTAGGGATAGCCAGTCAATCTGAGTCATGTCGGTTTATTTTTGAAATACTTCTCTATCTGCTTCCACTGTCAACACAGTCATCCTCGTCCCAGATCTCATTGTCTCTCCCCAGCCCTCTGTAATAGCCTCCCGGGTAGTCTCCCCATGTTCATTCTTTTTGCAACCCATTCTCCACAAAGCAGCCAGAATATTTTTTAAAAATGAAAGTCTGATCAGGCCACTCCCCTGCTTTAAAGCTTTTCAGAGGCTACCTGTAGCTCATGATGAAGGCAAACGTCTTGCCATGGGGCACAAGGCCTGCCTGGGCTGGCGCTCATCTACTGCTCCAGCCTCACCCGGTGCTCCTGCCTCCCGCTCTCTGCATCCTGGCCTTCTCTCCATTTCTTGAACATATCCTGCTTCTTTCCTCCTTCAAGGCCTTTGGCTGTCTCGTTCCCTTTGCCTTCACAGTTGATTCCTTCTCCTCCCCCTCGCTGTCATTGATCAGGGATAGCACTATATCCCTAATGCCAAGCCCTGTGCCTTGCACGTGGTAGGCACTTGATAAATTTTTGTTGAGTGAATGAATCTGGCACAATTAGAACTCGAGTTCAAATCCTGCCTGTGACGAGCTACTGTTGCCTTGGCAAGTTGTTTGATTTCTCTAGACCTTGGTTTCCTCATTCAAGAAATGGCATCATAAAGCCTCTTGCAGAATTCTCCTGAGGGTTTTCAATAAAGTGTCTCTCAAGAGTATTACCCAGGGCTTTCCTGGTGGCGCAGTGGTTGAGAGTCCTCCTGCCGATGCAGGGGACGCGGGTTCGTGCCCCGGTCCGGGAAGATGCCACGTGCCGCGGAGCGGCTGGGCCCGTGAGCCATGGCCGCTGAGCCTGTGCGTCCGGAGCCTGTGCTCTGCAGCGGGAGAGGCCATGGCAGTGAGAGGCCTGCGTGCAGCTTCGAGAGAAGGGCTATTAGAGCAATGTGTAGGAAGGGATGACTGAAAGTAGGAAAACCATTTAGGACTAAAGACAATGAGTAAATGAACTAAACAGTAACATGAGAAAGTAAAGAGATAGAGGCAAGATGCATTGAAAAAAAAAAAAAAAAAAGAGTATTACCCAGTGTCAGGCAGGTCTTCAGTAGGAGAATTTCTGTGATGACGTTGACTTTGGGATCGTGTCACTCACGATCACTTCTCACTTCTTCTCCCATCTCCTCCTCTTTCTGCTCAGGGCAGCATCTCATCACTGCGGTTGCTGATCATCTGTTTGGGCTGAAGACAACATCATGGTGAGCAAGAGGCATAAAACTAACTGTCAGGCATGGGTCCCTGACTGCTGGCTCCTTTACTAGTAGTGAGTCAGGGGTAGGAGGATAAAAATCTGCTGTGCTCACCTGTTCCCCTCGAAGATGGGGTGGTGGATGACTTTGTGTTTTCCCTGAGAAACATCTCCCTTTGCTTAAAAAAGAACATGGACTTTGGAGCTCAGTGACCTAGGGGGTGAATCCCTTGCATGACCTTGATCATGTTCCTTATCGCCCCTCACCTGTAAAGTGGAAATGACAGTCCCTACTTTGTGACATTTTTGTGAGGATTAAATACCAGCATTTACACGAACATGCTTTGTAAACGATAAACTTCCTTCTATTATTAATTGTCCCCATCAGCATCCTGTGACCACTCTACTTCTTGCAGGGAGTTAGGGCGACTCCGGAGTGTCATCGAGCTGGACAGCCCTTCTGTGACTGCGGAGCAAGTAGCTGCCATTGAGCAGAGTGTCAATGAAAAAATCAGAGATCGGCTGCCTGTGTATGTGCAAGAACTGAGCCTGGATGATCCCGGTGTGGAGCAGGTGAGGGGAGAGCCGGCAGGGTGGCTTCTGTAGGGTGGCCCTCCAAGGGCTCCTCATCAAAATTCAAACAGCCCTCCTCCCTCCCTTGCATTCCAGGTGAGGGGCCGGGGTTTGCCAGATGATCATGCTGGGCCTATTCGAGTTGTCACCATCAAGAGCGTTGATTCCAACATGTGCTGTGGGACCCACGTGAGCAATCTCAGTGACCTTCAGGTAGATGAGGAAGGGCTCTTGAGTGGGTGGGAGAGAGGGTGTTGGAGGTCGGGGATCACAGCAGGGCTGGGAGTGATAGAGGGGAACACGTGAGGGGTCCTGAGTGAAATCACTCCTTATTGCTTCCGAGCCAGCAGGGAGGTCTTGATCTCTCCCACCCTTGGGTCCAGCACCTGTTGCGGTTTGTGTGTGTGTGTGTGTGTGTGTGTGTGTGTGTGTGTGTGTGTGTTAGTTTTACTTCCTTGCCTCATGTAGGTCATTAAAATCCTGGGCTCTGAGAAGGGGAAAAAGAACAAAACCAACGTGACCTTTCTGGCTGGGAACCGGGTGCTGAAGTGGATGGAGAAGAGCCACAGCACTGAGAAAGCACTGACAGCTCTGCTGAAGTACGCCCCCTTCCACTGCCTCCTTCTCTCAGCGCCTGGGCAGCCCGGAGCTTACCCTTCCCGCCTGTACGGCAGACAGAATATTCTATCTTTAGGGGTAGGATGCAATCAGAAATGCTAAAGTGCTTTGGATAGTCGATCAGATGCACACAAAATGGTTTCTTCCTTTACATCCTCTTCCCCAACAGCCTGAGGCTTCCTTGGAATGTCCCTGGGTCCCATCAGGAAGGGCGCCATTGATTTATGCCTGACACCAAAAGCAGTTGGGAAACTGGGCAGGCCTCCATGGACCTTTCTCTTGCAGGTGTGGAGCAGAGGATCACGTGGAAGCCGTGAAAAAGCTACAGAACTCTAGCAAGCTCCTGCAGAAGGTGATTTATCCATGGCGGGTGGCGAGAGTGTGGGCTCTGCCTGGAATAGGCTCCCCAGACTCAGCCCCCCGCCGCCTAACTGGATGTGCAGCATGTTAGTGGGCAGTGAGTGGGGAGGGGAGGGGTGGAGAGATGGTATTCTCTCTGGTTACCCTTTCCCCACCTGTCCACTGAGTTATGGCATCCTTTTCAGAACAACCTGAATCTGCTCAGAGACCTGGCTGTGCACATTGCCCACAGCCTCAGGAACAGCCCAGACTGGGGAGGTGTGGTCACATTACACAGGTGAGGCCAGAGCTGCTAGGCTTAGGGCTCAGCCTCTCCCCTGTACGCAGTGCAGAGTGGGAGGCGGGTCGCCCCTGGTGTTCTATTTTTTTTTTTTTTTTTTTGGTATGTGGGCCTCTCACTGTTGTGGCCTCTCCCGTTGCAGAGCACAGGCTCCGGAGGCGCAGGCTCAGTGGCCATGGCTCACGGGCCCAGCTGCTCTGCAGCATGTGGGATCTTTCCAGACCGGGGCACGAACCCATGTCCCCTGCATTGGCAGGTGGACTCTAAACGACTGCGCCACCAGGGAAGCCCCGCCCCTGGTGTTCTTAAGGCTGAGAAGACCCGAAGAAGTGTGTTGCCTTGCAGATTTCCTGGGTTTGATATAAACATCTTCACTATAACTTTCATTAGAGCCTTCCCTCATCTCCTTTGCCATCTAACAGGTCTCCACTTACCCGGGTGAATCCTGTTTAAGGGAGACAGAAACAAACGCAAAACTTGTTATAACATGCCTACTGACTCCAGACTTCCAATTAGTAAGATAATGGAGACTCTTTCTCTGGGACTTTGCACAAAAGGCAGCAGTGTGGCCAGCTTCACGAGGAGGAGCTGGGCTTCCTGCAGTTTCCTAGCTCCCCTTGCAACTTGGATCTGATGCCTTTGCCCTTTGTTTTAGGAAGGAGGGTGATTCTGAGTTCATGAATATCATCGCCAATGAGATTGGGTCAGAGGTAAGAGGAGCATGAGGTTCTCCGGGTGGAGACCTGATGAGGGGCGTCAGGTTAGCTGAGGTCCCTCCGCATGAACACGTGAAGAATAGGGAACAGAAATTCATTCAACGCTATTTTCTCAGCACTGACTCTGAGCTAGGCTCTGTTTTAGGTGCCAAGCTCAGTCAATGGTATTGACCTTTCTGGGGCTGAGACATTTACTAGCTTCAGAGCTCCTTTTATCAGAACTGGAACTCCTCCGTGTCACCCACATTTATATGTACTGAGGGCTGATTTCAGAAATACGGGGGTTGGCCAGTCCCATAGAAGGCCATCCGTTCAGTTTTCCTTTGCCTCTGGCTTCAGCCACCCGTCCCGGTCCTGACCAGAGCTTAGTGGTTTCCAGGTCTCTCTTTTGCATTCACTCAGGAAACACTTTTGGGAATATCTACTCTGGGCCAAGCAGTGTGTGTGTATCTCTCCTCTTATTTCTGTGTAGAGAGTACTGATTCTCAAGGAGCTCACTCTTGAGTCTGGGAGACGACCGTGTATGCTGACATTTATAACTTAGGGTGGTCAGTGCTAGAGGCAGAGGAGTGCATTCCCTGAAAGGCTGGGGAGGCTTCAGGGGAGAGGCCTAGAAGACTGCTTAGCGGTCATCGGCAGACAGGGGAGCCAAGGTGGCCAAGCAGAGGGAAACACGGAGGTTTTGGCGATAGCAGACACAGGGCGCAAGGGGCGGTGTGGGAGTGGGGTGACCAGGCTGCAGAGTTTGGTGGGAGTCAGATCATGAAAGGCACTTTATGCTTGGTCATGGTCAGCAGCCTTCTGCCCCCTTCTTAATATTCAACCTATAGCCACTCTCAAAGTTTCTTGTCCCTAGTGGGCCCCAGAGTGGAGGGGCTGCCTTACATTCATGAGGAACATCACTTGTGGTTTAGGAGGGAAAACCTGTTTTTCTTTTAATTGAGATATTATTGGTATGTAATATTGTGTAAGGTGTACACTGTGTTGATTTGGTATCTTTATATATTGCAATATGATAAAAGTCTGTTCTTGAGACTAAAGAGAGTGCAGTTTAGGGGGAATTGACTGCACGTCTTTTAAGTGTCAGGGCTCATCTTGTCTTCCATCCTAGGAGACCCTCCTCTTCTTAACTGTGGGCGAAGAGAAAGGTGCTGGACTCTTCTTACTGGCAGGGCCAGCTGAGGCTGTGGAGACCCTGGCGCCCAGGTAATCTTCCATGGACTGCTTTGCACGGGTGGAAGAGCCTGTAAGCCTAACATACTAATAGCACCCTTGTTGGCTGCAAAGGGCCTCCATATCTGCATCTCATATTTTTTTTTTAATAAATTTACTTATTTATTTATTTATTTTTGGCTGTGTTGGGTCTTCATTTCTGTGCGAGGGCTTTCTCCAGTTGCGGCGAGTGGGGGCCACTGTTCATCGCGGTGCGTGGACCTCTCACTGTCGTGGCCTCTCCCGTTGCAGAGCACAGGCTCTAGACGCGCAGGCTCAGTAGTTGTGGCACATGGGCTTAGCCGCTCCACGGCATGTGGGATCTTCCTGGATCGGGGCACGAACCCGTGTCCCCTGCATTGGCGGGCAGATTCTTAACTACTGCGCCACCAGGGAAGCCCCTGCGTCTCATTTTCATTCACATCACAGCCATGTGATGTTGCCTGAGCAGAAATAATGATCACCACCGTCATTCCCAGTTTTAGAGATGAGGGACAGCACATTGTGTGCCTGAGATCTCACAGTTAAAGTGGCAAAACTGAGACTTGAGCCCAGGACTTCCGGCTCCAAATCTCATGTGCTTTGTGTTTTTTCTTTTAGAAATTGAGATTCATAAGTGATACATGAATACAGGTGCTGGATTCTCACTAGGCAGATGAGGTTGCTTAAGGCATCAGCAAAGCAGAGGCACAGACAAACTTGGGGAAACAAATTAGGGTTTTGAGACTGAATCAAAAAATGTATTGATGGGGGCTTCCCTGGTGGCGCAGTGGTTGAGAGTCCGCCTGCCGATGCAGGGGACACGGGTTCGTGCCCTGGTCTGGGAAGATCCCACGTGCTGTGGAGCGGCTGGGCCCGTGAGCCATGGCCGGCCACAGCCTGCGCGTCCGGAGCCTATGCTCCGCAACGGGAGAGGCCACAGCAGTGAGAGGACCACGTACCGCAAAAAAAAAAAAAAAAAAGTATTGATGTAGTAACTATAGAAAAATTAGAATTGTGTTGGACTTTTTTACTCTTGTATTGTTTATATTTTCTTATTTTAAATTAGATATGGAGGTGGAGTGCCCCATATTCTTTCTGGCATTTAGGGTTTTGAAGTCCTGATTGGCTGTGATGAATATGTGTTCACTGTAAAACACTGAAGGAAAACAGAAGTATTTAGAGCAGAGGTTCCTGACAGGCAGCCAGCTGTGGCCTATAGACTGGTTTGGCCTGTGTACTACTTTAAATTTTTAAAATTAGTTGCTACATTTTAAAATTAGGAGATTTTTATTTAAAAATAGGGAGTTCTAGCTTTTCTCAAAAAAGGAAGAAAAAAAGGCACACGCTTGCAACACTGGACTGACGTTCCTGCAGGTTAGTATCTATGAGGACGTGAGTGGGGCCTGCCTCTTCAGACAGCACGGGCCCGGCCAGTGCCATGGGCCCACCTTTCTCTCTCAGCCCCAGTTGCTTCCCTGCTGTTCCCGCAGGCCTTTGTGTCTACAGCTCTTTACTCCTAATGACGCTCATCCTGTTCCTTGGAGGTTGCCATAATTTAGCCTGTTTCTAGACACTTCTATTGTTTCCAGTTAATCACTCTTTTTTTTTTTTTAATAATCATTAATTTATTTTTGGCTGCGTTGGGTCTACGTTGCTGTGCGCGGGCTTTCTCTAGTTGTGGCGAGCCGGGGCTACTCTTTGTTGCAGTGCACAGGCTTCTCATTGCGGTGGCTTCTCTTGCTGCGGAGCACGGGCTCTAGGCGCATGGGCTGTAGTAGTTGGGGCCCGTGGGCTCTAGAGCACAGGCTCAGTAGTTGTGGCACACGGCCTTAGTTGCTCCGTGACATGTGGTGTCTTCCCGGACCAGGGCTCGAACCCGTGTCCCCTGCATTGGCAGGCGGATTCTTAATCAGTGTGCCACCAGGGAAGCCCCCAGTTATTCGCTCTTAAATAAATATGGTACCCATATCTTTGTGCACATGTGCAAGTATTTCTAGAAGCCATTTACTTTTTCTCTCCCCCCAGCCCAAGGGGAAAGCCTCAGGGCTGCCCTTGGTTTTCCTGTGACTTTTCCCTCCAAGATGCCCTCCCTGACTGTCTCTCTGCTCCCCAGGGTGGCTGAGGTGCTAGAAGGCAAGGGAGCGGGGAAGAAAGGCCGCTTTCAGGGCAAGGCCACCAAGATGAGCCGTCGGGCAGAGGTGCAGGCGCTTCTCCAGGACTACGTCAGCACTCCAGGACTACGTCAGCACGCAGAGTGCAGTGCAGAGGAGTGAGGGCTCGGGTGCCTCCCTGGTTGTCCGTTGACAGCCGGCCTCCTGTGACCACAGAAGGAGTCTCTTGGATAATAAAATAGTTTGACTTGAAATGATTGTGGCACCATGTATATTTACATGATGGATATGAATTTATACAGTATATTCCAGTGTGCTTATGTGATCAGTCTTTGTGAATAAACAGCTTTATTTTTTTTAAATTTATTTTATTGAAGTATAGTTGATATATAGTGTTGTGTTAATTTCTGCTGCACAGTAGAGTGATTCAGCTATACATATATATACGTTCTTAGTCATAATTTTTCTATTATGGTTTATCACAAGATATTGAATATTGTTCCCTGTGCTATACAGTAGGACCTTGTTGTTTATCCATTCTATATATAATAGTTTGCATCTGCTAATCCCAAACTCCCAGTCCATCCCTACCTACCCCGCGACCCCTACTGTGGCATCCACAAGTCTGTTCTCTATGTCTGTGAGCCTTAAACAGCTTTCTAATTCAGCTCCTGTTAGGCACACCCTATCCGTGAGTGTTATGTTGATGAACTGTAGTAATTTATCTAAACCCAGCTGCAGTCTTTCTTCATATAGAAATGCAGCTGCCTAAGGAGATGTGAGTCAGAGCAGAGGCTTGGCTCGGGGCTTAGACTCACATCTCCTTGTTTTCTCTTATTTTTTCCTTATTTCTTTTCCTAGTCTTGTGTTTCAGAATTAAAAGATATCAATGACTTTGTAAATAGGTCAAGAGGGCACGAAAATATATAGTTGAAAGATGTTCCATGTCTGCTATTGAGGCAGGAAAAGGATGGAAAAAGATACCAGGCAAGACTAACCCAGAGAAAGCTGGGGGCATTATTAATATGAGGTAAATGAGACTTTAAGCCTATAACACTTTAAGAATCATTACTGGCCCCGCCCCCCCAGAAAAAAGAAAAAGGAATTCCCTGGCGGTCCAGTGGTTAGGACTCGGTGCTTTCACTGCTGTGGCCTGGGTTCAATCCCTGGTGGGGGAAGTAAGATCCCGCAAGCTGCACAGCATGGCCAAAAAAAAAAAAAAAGAATCATTATTAGAGACCAAGAGAGACATGAGGTGATAAAAGGAAGATAAAATAGTTATAAATTTATAGGTATCTAATAACAGCCTCAAAATACATAAAGCAGACATTGACACATCTAAAAGGAGAAACAAATCCATAGTTGATGGAAGATTTAAAGTCATCTTTCAGCGCTGATAGAACAAGGGGAAGCATTATCTCAAGGTTAAGAGCATAGACTGGAGTTTCACAGACCTGAGTAGTCCTGGCTTCGTGCATCTATAGGTGGTAGAACTATATAACAAAAAGCAAGGGATTGATTTTAAAAGGACAACACTTACTGATACTTCTGGGGAGGGACCCAAGGTGGGGGTGGGAGGGTGGTTTCTGGGGTGCCCGCAGTGTTTTGTTCCTTGACTTGGGTGACAGTTAAACGTCGGGCTTTGCTCTATAATTATGCATTGTAGTCTACATTTATGATTTATTCCATGAGGTTATATTTCACAATTTAAGAATACTTAAAAAAAATCTGGTTCTGTTGTTTACTCACTTGTGAGAGTTATCTTGCCTTTTCAATCTTCACTTTCCTCACTGGTGACGTGGCAGTAGTGGGGGTGCCTCAATCTTTGTGGTGTTGGGAAGTAACATATTCAACTGTAAATGCTCAAGAAAACACTGGATTCCTGGAGATGACCTAGAATGGGTATTTTTGATTGCCTAATGTTCAGTTCCTCTTTACCTGCAAATCGAGGATTGGTTGTAACAGCAGGAGCGGCTGCACTTCCGCCACCTCCAGGTGAGCTGCATCCCTGGGCAGTGCCCCTGTGGATGGATGTGTGTGCAGGCACCTCCTATGCTTCCCCAGGTTATTTTGGAGCTATGATTGAGGCCAAGGGAGGCGGCTTTTGAACCCAGCAGCTACCGGTGAATAGCTTCAGATTAGACGTCTGTCTCCCTGTTCACACAAGGACTTTATTCAGCTAAAATTCCCACATGAGGAATTTCTGCCGCGTTCCTGCTAGAGAAACTGAGGCAGGCAGGGAGCGTGGCTTCATAGAATTTGGCTGGATGGAATTGAGTGGTTACCTAGTGTAGTGGCTTTCAAACTTTAGTCTTCAAGTTAAAGGAAGCTTTTCTTCATGAGTCTTACATATAACAGCCCAGTTCGGAAATGGATGAAAGCTGTATTGATCTGGTTGGAAAAAGGAGTGGAGGCTTGGAGTTCTGCAGGAGCTTAGAGGGCCCTGAGGTACCCCAATGGAGCCACAGGGCACCATTTGGAAACCACTGATGTGTAACTATTTTATAGATGAGAAGGTTCAGGGAAGGTAGGTGCCAATGGGTATATAATTAGTAATAGTACCATCGGGCAATAAGCATCCAAGGTAGTTAAAAAGATTAGCCTCACATTTAACAAGTTTTTTGTTTCTTTTTGCGGTACGCGGGCCTCTCACTGTTGTGGCCTCTCCCGTTGCGGAGCAACAGGCTCCGGACGCGCAGGCTCAGCGGCCATGGCTCACGGGCCCAGCCGCTCCGCGGCGTGTGGGATCTTCCCGGACCGGGGCACGAACCCGCGTCCCCCTGCATCGGCAGGCGGACTCTCAACCACTGTGCCACCAGGGAAGCCCTTAACAAGTATTTTTTGATGTGCCATTCCATTTCAAAGTATAGACCAATCCTCCCAAACAGCCCGTGTTTTCCCTCACAGGGCATGTCAGCTTTGATGTTTGTGCTGGTCCTATAAATCAAACTTAGGGTTGAATCCTGGGTCTCCGGATGAGGTTATGTGCTTACATGTGCATGTGATATACCTCTAGGAAGTTCAGGGTGGATACAGCTCTGGTGTGGAATCATTTTTTCCTCCTGTGTCAAGAGCCCCTAAGGAGAGAATGACGGTGTCCGGTTAGTTTTCTCCCAAAGTGAAAGAAGCTAAAACAGCTTGTCTGGTAAAGACTGAAAGCCACAAGGCAGCCTACTTGGCAGGGACAGAAGTCCAGTCAGCTGGAGCCAGGAGGAGGATGAATGGGAGAGCTGGGCTGCAGGCAGGTGGCCAGAAGGAAGAGAAATTTGAGTTTCTGAGGCAAAATTTAGGCATTGACGTTGCATCAGTAGGCTGCGGAGCGGGTATGAAAGGCATCAAGAGATTTTTTAAAATGTATTTTAATTTATTTTTATATTTTTAAAAGTTTTTGGCTGCACTACACAGCATGCGGGATATTAGTTCCCCGACCAGGGATCAAACCTGCGCCCCCTGCAGTGGATGCAGGGAGTCTTAACCACTGGACCGCCAGGGAAGTCCCTAAAAAACATATTTAAAAATTTTTTTTCTCCAGCCCTGCCCCTGCCTAATTTTCCTTGCCAGAGACAGCCAATAATTTCTTATATATCCTCTGGCAGTATTCTTTTCATAGATGTGTATAAATCTCCCCTCTTTCGAAACATAATGTACACTCCTCTGCATCTTGCTTTCCTCAGTTAAATGAGTATCGTGTTTTAAAACAAAACCATAGTGTAAAAGTTAGGCAGTACAAAATGGAATCGTTGATGAGAGACGGGGAAATATTATTTGCTTCACAGAAGGGTTCCTACTTACAGAAGGACTCAGGCAGGATTCCCTTGAACAGAGACCCAAGGGAATTCTTTTTTTTTGAGGAGGGAGTTGTTTGTTTGTTTGTTTGTTGGCTGCATGGCTTGTGGGATCCTAGTTCCCCTACCAGGGATCAAACCCGGGCCCCCTGCAGTGGAAGCGTGGAGTCGTAACCACTGGACCACCAAGGAATTCCCATGAGTTCATTTTCTTGTGTGTATGATCTCCCTCTCTCCCTCTGTGTTTCTGTTTCATCGGGGTGTAATAAAAATAGCAGTGAACTGGGCTTCCCTGGTGGCACAGTGGTTAAGAATCCACCTGCCGATGCAGGGGACATGAGTTCGATCCCTGGTCCAAGAAGATCTCACATGCTGCGGAGCAACTAAGCCCATGCACCACATCTACTGAAGCCTGCATGCCTAGAGCTCGTGCTCCGGGACAAGAGAAGCCACTGCAATGAGAAGCCAATGCACCGCAACGAACAGTAGCCCCCGCTCGCTGCAACTAGAGATGGACTGCGTACAGCAATGAAGACCCAACGCAGATAAAAATGAATAAAATAAATTTATTAAAAAAAAAAAGCAGTGGACTGGGGCCACCCTTGCTTGCCACCACTCAGGTGGGTTCTGGTCACGTAGGCTTAGAATGACCATATGATTTACTATCCAAACTTGGGGACTTCTAAGAGTGAAAGGGGTGCTCCACACATCTCTCCAGAACCACAAACCAGGTTGGTCTCAGGCAAACCCAGGGTGTATGGTTTCCCTGCTGAGACTCTCCCTTACCTTCAATTTCTTTACCTGCAAGTGGGGATGTGAACACGGTGTCCTAAGAAGGAAGGAATTTTCTGAAATAACTCAATTAGGAAAATGCATCAACATTTGAGCTAATTATGTGAAAACAGTAACTAGTTGTGTAAAGGAAGGAAAAATAAAGCAGCACATTTTGAACTGGTGATGTCATTCACACCTGTCAAAGGGGCCCTAATCCATTCCCTGGGGAGAGGTACAGTTTGTATTGAAGGGATGGGGTGGATTATCTTGTGAGGTTCACCAGAAAATCAAGCAGAGTGAGTTTGATCATTTACTAGAGTAACATTAAATGAGGACCAAGAGAATAATAGGTATCAATTAGCACAAAATGTAGTAGAGTTTTAGGTACACATATACACACACAGATTGCATACTCTGGAACATTGCTAGAATCCACTTTTACAGCATAGAAATAGTGAGAAACGGCTCCCTCTTGGCTAAGAAAGTTTTATGACTTAAGTATCCATAAATTGCTGAAGACAATGCTGTGGCTCACACCAAGGTGAAGGTCTCCTTTGTGTGCACATGTAGGTGCTGGATCAGATTTTAGTATGAAAGACAAAA